GGCTTTTTATGCGCCATCTCAGATTTTTTTGTGGGAATCCTGCAAGGCCGCGGCCTGGTGAGAACACTGGTATTGGTATTCTGTTTTAGGATACCAGACTCTACTTTCAGGTAAGATCTTACCCAATCCTTGACTGTCCTCTATCAGGACCCTTTCAAAAATCACAGAAACCATCTGTCTGACAGTTGCTGCAGCCGTGGTACAAATTGTTGCATCTTTAATGAAGTACAACTTGAAGCACAACACCATCGCCTTAAAAGGGTGAAAACAACATGAAACAAATTAAACAATAAACCAAATTGAAAATTAATATAAATGTTACATTTTTGTACTTTTGTACAACAATACCCTACAAAGGATAATAATTTATTAATATTGAAATGTAAAGAAGTTACGTCCACACAATTAAATCAGCACATGCACAATTAAAACAGCACATGTCTCACAGAACCTCAAAAGCTCAGGGAAAGATCCAGTGTTTGTAAATAAAGGGGGGAAAGTCTAGAAAGAAGAAGGAAATTAAAGGAAATAAAAAAAAGTTTGAACCCGGAATCAAAATTATTCTATGACAACTTTGAGACGCCTTTGACACTACAGTGTACACCCTCAATAAATCTGAAAGTAGTTTACTTATTAAGGCATTTACTTAAACACCATTCAAAATGAGTCCAGCTATTTTCTGGTCACAACCTGCCTATTAATGGTTGTTTCCAGGTCTAGCACAAGGCTAGTTTTCATTGCTGATTTTAACCAACACGACTTAGCGATTCATGACTGTGTGATTGCACGCAATGCCTTTCAGGCTCCACTTTGTAAGAAAAAACAACTGCTTTTTAATAAAGAAAATGACGCAGTAAAGATCAAAATGGATTGCACTTGGGGTTATGTAAACTGTTTAGCCAGTTTTTCAAAGTTTATCTTTCTTGCTTTGTAACTTTAAATTATAAAGCTTGGCAGTAACCTTTTTGCCATGCATAGAGTTGTGATTTGTCCTTTAGACTGAAGTAACTCCTTTGTTAACATAATTATTAAATTGCAGCCAAACCTCTCCACAATGGCCATCTTGGGGACGGAAAAAAGTGGCGGTTGTAGAGAGGTGGCCATAAGTAGAAGTTTGATTATATCTTATTTTACAGCAGACAGGGAAAATATTTATTGCATACGGGTTTGACCAATTATTTTTACAACACAGACCTTTCCAAGGCTTTCTCCATGAACAATATTTGACGTTGTAATGAGAAGAATTATGGTTTGAAGAATTCTCAGCTCTTCTAAACCACCTTCCATCAACTGCCAGAGTGTACTGACAAGGTTACTGGCTGAGGACTGTAAGAGAACATACATGTACATCTGTCAAGACTTTCATGATATTTTCAACTTTTGACGAGGACCAGTTAACAAAAACAAGTCAACATGGCTGGAAAGAATGCTTTAAAATCAGTAAACTTGCAAAGTCTGGAAAAGACTTGTTGAAAGATAATAAAGATATATTCCCCGAAGTTGCGGAATTTTACAAACGCTATTTGTATGGATGAAGAAAAGTTTGTGCCACCATCCCTGACCACGCCAAATATCAGAAGCCCATGCTTTTAAGACCCTCTTTCCAGCAGCATTGTTGGATACTCACTTACTATACTTAGTCTATTAAGAAAAAATCCATGGAAGGTCTATCAAAATACCACTCACACAAAGCCAAAAACCTGATGAAGTTTATGAATTTTGCCATTGACTAGGCAATAGTGCAAGGCAGGGCATAAAATTTCAAAAAAATTTCAGACCAGCAAGAAAAAGTCCCAGATAATTACTCAACTAAAATTTACCTTTATCTGTGAGGATCATTAAAATATTTTATGAATAAACACTTCCATACATTTGCGGACTGTTTTAGATGGTAGAAACAAAACAAAAAATAATACAGTGCATTTTTCCTCACAGAATAGAAAGTTACACTGTGTCACCTTTTCAATGATTTTGGATTTCTATTATTATACTACTACATTAGAAATTACTGCAATTTGATTGGCTTAGAGCAGTGGTATTTCAGCTTAATTTGAAATACCTACATGTGAAAATTACAAACCTTGTGCGGGTAGTAGTATAAACAAAAAATAGCATTATTTGAACGTGATATTTGGCATAAATACCACTCGTAATATTTCAAAATTGTCTCAAATTTCGTTCAACAATTTCGAAATATCACTCATGGTATTTATGCCAAATATCACTACAAATCATGCTATTACCAGGCATCCTAGGCAAATTTTTCCACTTAACGGCTGAGGCATAATGTCACATACATGTAACAACCGGGAACAAGGCTACCCTTGTTCAATTTAGGCCAGGTATTTCTGGCTTTCTCAAACTTTCCTGTATTTTTTCGTGTGTTCTTTTTGAGAATGTAAACAGTGTTTTCCATTACACCAGACTAAATTAAAGGTCAGACACCAGAATTAGGTGAAAAATAAGAGCAATGAAATTTAAATTGGATCAATTTGAAATTTCTACATGGCCCAAGCATTCTATTCATATTTCAACTGAAATATTATTACAAATACTTCCTAGTGAAACAGAAAACTGCGGGAAAGAAGCATAAGAGGTTAACCAGTCAAAGTGGACAACATCCTCATTGAAGTGAACCATTTTTCTGAAAAATTTCCATTTAGATGAGCCCTTGTTTATACATTTTGCCCAAGTTTCTAGCCTAAATGGCAAGCAGCAAAAATTCTTTCAATTTTTTCTCATCTCCTCACCGTTATACATTCCTCTAGTCTTGCAAGTTTTCCCTTAGTAAAGTTGATAAGTGCTTATGTGCTAAGTAAAATCCATTTTCAGTTTAATGCAGGAATTTCCCTCGTCTCTTACAAATTAATTATAATATTATCATATAATTATAGGAAACAAAGAAATGTCTGATTCAATCTAAGCTGAATACTTGTTTAAGCTGAAAACAGACTCAACCACACGGTAGTACAAAATTAATGCATACCTCAGACAGAGCTTCATTGGTAATAAGCCTCTGTAGTGCCGTCAGCGAGATCTGTACCACACGAAGACTTTTGGTATCACAACCAAGCAGGAAAGGCTGGACTATCTCATTTTCTTCTGAAACAACTAAATATGCATAAAATAAAGGAATCAGGATGTGTATAATAATATTAAACTTGAATAAGCACCATCCTAAATTAGTGCCACACCCTCCCCTCAACAATGCAGTGCCTGTTGGTTTTCACAGATTTTTAACAAGGTTAGACTTCAGTAACACAATAATTGTAACCAAAAATATTCAAAATTTAAAATCTTCAAACTGTTTGTATATTATAGGTCAAAAGAAAACAACTCAGATTAACATTTTTAAAACCTAGGTTGATTCTCAAATTTCTGCGTCTCTTAGCCCTAATTATTCATGAATTAGGGCTAGGTGAGAAAAGAAACTGATTAACAACCTACACTGTAGGTTACAAAATTTTAACCTGAAATAAATTCGTCTAATAATAAGCAAAGATTCGACATTCTGTATAAGCAAAAGTCAGGTCGCAATCCTTATTTATATGATTATAACAAGAAAATATCTCCATTATATTGTAGACAGTTTATGACCCAAATTATAGACTTTTTCCATGAGCAGGACTCACTCAACAAACGCTTGAAGAGCAAATTCTGCCCACTGTTATTTTTATACCATTGAAAAACATTTACAACCTTGAAAAAATTAGCATTTTACTATGTCCTCTGTTTCCAACCAAAACAGTTGGCTATTTAGTATTTGAACTCGGGACTACCAAGAACTAGCCTGCGAAAACATCTGTTTCTTCTCGCTCTTCGCCACTGGGGACGTTTTGCGCGGAGGAACGTCTGCGACTGAGCACAGAAATTCCATACTGATGACGCAAATCAAAGTTCACTTAATAAATCCCATAGTCATGGGGTTCTAAATGTAAATTTATTCAATTTTAGGTTTCTCCTGATCGATTTTGGTAAAGTGTAGTGTTCATTTGCGAACGAGCTCCAGCAAACCTTAAATGCTTGTTCTAGAGAAGACTATAATTTATTCCAAAAATATTGACTGTTTTGTTAGAGATTCATTGCATTTACATTTGACCTTTGTGGCCTTTTGTCTTTTGTCTTTTGTCTGTCATTCATAAACAATAGCTAAAACAATGTAACTACGCTGTCGACCAATCAGGGCTTCTGACCGGATTCTGGACATATTTTACGTCATCAGTATGGAATTTCTGTCTCTGAGTTGCAGACGTTTCTCTGCGCGAAAAATCCCCAGCAGCAAAGAGCGAGGAGAAACAGATGTTTTCGCAGGCTAACCAAGAACAACAATTATCCAGCTAGGGGTCGAAGAATGTCCAGTGCTCCAACTGAATGGCCATCCTGCCTCCACAATTGTAAGATAAAAATAGTGCAATGAAGGGTGTACAGAAATTGATAAGCCAGGAGATTAGGATTAGTGGGGGCCATAAACTATAGGAATACATGGTATGATGGTCATCATTTAAATACTGTGGTACAGTCAGTGTAAAATGCAGACCGAAGACTATTGTTTTCACCATGCAAATGAGAAATGTAACAATAGTCCCATTGTTTTCTAACCCTAAAAACAATAGTCCATAGCCAGTCTGCAATCTGCAATTTAGACTGCCCCATTCAAGTATTAAAATTATACAAGGTTGGTACCCTGTTTTTGCACAAAAAATTCAAGGACTTTTCACAGACTTTCAAGGACACCATTCGGTGCAGAAAAGAGTCTTGAGTCTATGTCTTTTTTAGTTTCTTCACAACATGAGCAATTTTAACCTGAATGTCGTCTGTGTTTGCTCCTTTTCCTTTGGGTTAGATAAAGTTAGCACTGAAATTCAAGGACTTTCCAGCAGCGACTGCAATTTTCAAGGACTTTCAAGGACTTGAATTTTTAATTTCAAATTCAAGGACTTTCAAGGACAATCAAAGTGCATGCAAACCCTGTAAATAAATTTCTTGATCTGCTCTTTACATTTACATATTTTACCTTGCAAAATCACATGTAAACATAGTCACAAGCTCTTTAAAATCATGGAGTGCTGTTCATTATAAATTCGTTGAAAGTTAGCCTATTGATAAATAAATACATTGACATTTTGGGAGTTTCTTTAGGCAACAGGTGACTTCTGGATTTCCTTGTATCAGCTTCTAAAATTTTATGCAGTAAATGTACCTTTAGTGATTTTAACATTTCTTGATTTTGCAGCACTAATAGTTCGGAGACGTAAAATTCCGGCTTCGGCGGCCTGAAAAGAAAAATGAATAAAAAGATTTTTTAAAGAAATTAACGCACAAAAATAGAAGTTTACAAACAATGGGGAGTATTAAGTTGAGAAAATTAACACAAAAATAATTGCAACTTTTATAAGCTTAAATTTGTTAATTTTCCAGTTTTTTTTCTAATACTACCATTTTAAACCACACATTGTCTTAACAAATTGAAGTTTTTCACAAAGCATTGAACAGATGTTGTACCTCTTTGACTGGCTGGAATTTTCGCCTTGTTTCGTTCGACAAAGCTCGGAGATCAGCTTGAACAGCATCAATAAATTTCTTTGATCTTTCATCAAGCCCTCGCGACATGTTGAAAACACTTAACGGTGAAGTGTACAATAAACTAGTTCACTCTGTCCGCTCGAATTGGGAATATTCTCAGCCATTCTAGGTTTGTTTTGATACGATTTTCAAAGAGGATTGAATAACCCTACCGAGGGAGTGGGCCGCCATATTGGATTTAGCTGATGTGGCTCGAACCAATCCCCCTCGTTAATGGGGATCAAAAATGAAGAGGCCCCACATTGCGAAACTTATCGAGATCCCTCCTTTATAAAGAGCCTTGATGCTCTTGTTGATCGCGATATATGTACATTTATTCCTTCACAGGAACAAGAATATACTTGGCAAAGTAGCAAACTACCACCTTATGTCATGAATCATTATGGTAGGTTAGGAATCACAGAGTACAGTCATTTTGATTTTTTCAATGTTTGTTTACAAAAAAAATTTCGCTGACTACATCTACCCGGGATCATATTCTGCACCTTTGTTTTGTACATTGGCCTTGCTACATTAACAAACATTTTTTAGAATGCATGATCGATATATACTACAAGATCACTTGATTTGCACAGTGTAATTTACTTCCGGCAACGGATACGCAAACTACTTGTGGATTAACCGTAGCCACTCTTTGTCGATCAGATGCAGTGCACGCCGATCAGACACGATCTTTTATTTGACTTGATCGTGAGAGAAGAGGAAGTTTTTTGGAGAGTGGAAAAAACGATCAATGGGTTGGGCATAAAGCTGAAAGCAGAGACTTTTAATATTCAGTATTCCTTAACAACGACAGTTAAAATAAAATTGCGTTCACTGCGACGATCATTTCTTCATTTTCATTTCATTTCCGCAGTTCATATATGATTTAATTCATATATCATTGACAGTTAAAATAGGTAAATCACTTGGCTGTCAGTAGATAAAAGAACTTTCCCGGAAAAATTTGTTAACCTTTCACCTGACATTTCTGACTATTTTAATAGTCACTATCAACTAATTTGTTTTGCAGGTCACCGACTTCCTTTTTAACGGGCGCGCGAGGGAGACACTCGAAGCTATCACAAAGCGTCTCGAAGCCTATGCGCGTGTAAGGCGTTTTGATGAGAAAGGGAGGGGGGAAATTAAAATAAAAAATCAACGCGGGCGCAGAGAGTAGAAAGAAAGAGGGCACGCGTCTACGACATTCTCGCGCGCCTCTAATGTGCTCCCCATTCGTTTCCCCCTTAAAACCCACGTGAGTAGAAAGACGTTATTTATCTATGTCAAGAGCCTAATAGGAACCTAATAGGCTCCTGTCTATGTAAACATCAGTAATGGAAAACCGTTATAGATTAATGTAGGGCGCGCGCCTATCACGTTCTCGTTCGCTGTCGTCTCTCCTTTCCTTTCCTCTTCACTAAGATTCTCAGCCGTCTCTCTCAGCGTCTCTTCTTATTATCACGAGCTGGTTGCACGGAACGCAGAATGTAAGTACACATGTATATTCCTCCTTCTTAAAACCCGCCGAGAGAGAATAACCCGCTAAGAACCGCATGGCCAGCGGACCAGGCGAGTTTGGTTTTGGGAGATTCCTTGCGTCTCCGGCCTATTGGCGCATCGGTGAATCTCCGACTTTTGTCCACTGACTAGCTTTCTATGTGGACTTTCTTAAAGGGATTCGTTTCGTTCTCTACGTCGGGGAGGATTGCCTGACGGAGCCAAAAGAACGACTGCATGGGAGGCCAACCATTGACAACCATTTTCGTGGTCTATCATCAGTGGTCAATCTTAAAACCCGTGCTCCTAACCTCATAAATTTTACACCGCTTGCCGAGTAATGTGAAGCCACCTTCTAAGTAAGATACCTTTTTCTCTTTTAAGTCGTATTGACAGGTCCCTTTTAAGTGAACATTCCCATTTAGTAGAGTTTCAATGCACTGAAAAAGATTTTTTCTTTTTCAAAAACCCCTCGGGTATAGGCCGAGACCCCGTCTTAGGCTCAAATTTCACTTAACTTAAGCTTTGATTTGTGTAAAAATTGCTCGGCTTATAGCCGAATAAATACAGTAGATCAGAGAGGACTTGATATAGCCGAGGATTTAGACTGTCTGCGATGCAGCTTATAAAGTTCCTGAATTTAATGAAATGTGTAATAGTATCGTCACATCCCGAATATCTGCACTTTATACTCCTCAAGATCATTGTTTGTTATTGTTATATCGATTACTACCGATTTTTGTTAATCGGTGATGATCGATAATTTATTTTTTCCGTGACTTCGATTTCTATCGATTTCCGATATCAATCGATAGCTGATCGGCGGATTAGATCAATTGATTTCCGATAACGATTTCTATCGATTAACTACGCCTGGAATACTAGCAAAGATTTTAATGCAGTTCACAAAGTCGTACTCTGGAAATCACACAGAATCTTTTGATCTTTTACACGTTTTGGACGAAACGATTACGCCTCAGCGCGCAGCGATTTCGGAACCCGTTCTGCTTGTCCAATTAACCTTAAAAGGGACAGTATGAACTCAGAAGACTTAGAAGAATTAATTCACTCCCCACAAATCAAAGTTTTGTTAGAAATCAACCCAACAAGCCCTGGCCTTGTTAACTGAATGCTTAGCTTTTGGTTAAATGCGTGAAACGATAATTTCAGTAACCTCATGGTCCGAAACGCACGAAGCTTAAGTTTCAAGTACAGGAAGTTTTTACTTTGCACTAATGACCCACTAAAGAGTTAACTCATCAGCATGGCCCACACTAATTTGATAGCGAACAAATTGCCATGCCAACCTAAGCTGGGTATTTTTAAGTTACTAACGTTTTGAAATTTCACGGTTACGATCGAAAGTTCTGATAGTGAAAATGCAAGAAGAGGTTTCTGCTGACATCTAGTGACGGAAAACTTCCACCAGGAACACCAGGTTAACTTGAGTTGACCAATTGATGGTGTGATAGTGATTAGTTGAAGTAATAAAAAGGATAAAAGATATTTTCCGTCTGATACAAGATTGTTGCTTGTTTTTAAATAGACTTTTGCTGGGCACGTTTTTCACGGAACAACATGATCACGGTTCTCGGTAATTTCCCGCTGACTTTCAGAGCTTTTTTTTTTACCGAGAAAGCGGACTTGAAATACTGAAACTGAAAAGTTAACCGAAACTGTTCAGAGCTAAGACCCTATTAGGATATTTTCAGCGATGAAATCAAGTTTACGGCGAGATTTGGAGAGCACAAGAGTAGAACTTGGAAATTTCTTAATATCGAGCTGGGAACCCCAGGCAAAAAAACATGAGTATAAATACTGATGGGGTCGACTAGCTCTGGGTTGTACCTTATGGCTGAAAGTTTGTATTTATATTTTATTCTTAACCTCGTATTTCTAATAATCGAGCCTTAAGAGGCCTTTAATGAAATTTAACCCCTGATCGTAACTAAAGCCTTCAGCAGAACAGCCTACTTTGGGCATGATACGGGGTAAAGGGGGGCGGGGGGGTGCATCGCAAGAAGGTTATCAGCCCTATGATCACATATAGAAAGCAGCTCGTGGTTCAAATTTATGTCATTCTTCAAAGTAAAATGTTTTCAAAACTAAAAGTTTGATAAACATTGGAAACTGAGATAAAAATTGGGAAAAAGCCAGACCGTCAGATTATATTCCGACCGGATGCAGTAGCCAATTCTGCCGGAACATAAGAAAACATGAGATTTTCCCGCGCTCAAAACCACCAAGCACGCACGGGTTTCGTTTAAGCGTGACTAAGGAAGTATCATTCACAGCACAACATTCACAACGAACGAAGAATCGAGAGACGTAGAGAGGAGACAAAATGGAGGTTTCACGGCGAATAGAGTTCTCTTCGCCCGGATTCAGAAGAAACTGCCGGCTGTCTCAGTGCTGTCTATTTGTAGGAATTTATTCCACCTCTCAAAACGTGTACCAATTGTAATGTATAATAAAATCTTCATATAGAACTGAGGTAGGACATCAAGAACGTCCCTGGTCACAAATATGTATAGATCGAACTTTGATTTAACCAATCAGAACACGCTAAGAGCCTTAAGCGACACGGGAACATGACGAGGTCGGTTGACCACGACTGATGCATGTACTCTCGGTAGCAATTCAAAACTGAAATCCGCATTGCCTAGCCGCACGTGCCTTGTCCAATATCAGTTGCGAGCAATTTGTTTGTGGTAGTTGTTGTTGTTTTGGCTTGCTTTTATCTTTGTTTTTATCTGTTTCAGTTCATACTATACTCTGCAAGACGTACAAAGCGTATCAAGTTTACTTCCTAGTACAGTGTTCACTCGCCAACAATTTGAGCGGTGTCACGTCGATTGCACTCCACGCATTCCATGGCTTCGTTTTCATTCATACCCCTACAGGCATATCCGCGTTCCCCACTACAGTTTTTTTTGTTGCTTTTTGAGGGGAGCGGGGTCGTCTGTACACCGGTTAGTTCCCACTGATGACCGACGTCTTTGCAAATTGAAATCGGGAGCTTTGTTCACTGTAATTAATATTTTACCTTCTATCGTGAGAGTAATTATTGAGCAAACAAGTAAACAGACCCCTTTGTTGACATTATTACTTTAAAATGAATGCCTTCGTGATTTTTTTCAGCAACAGCTTTTCCGGAAAGATAACGAGTCAAGGGCATTTCAGAAATCCAAAGATTCGAAAAAATCCGGTTAAATAACCACCTCGGGAACTCCAAGAAAATCTAGGAAAAACTGATAGGATATATACGAGATCAAACTTCCAGGTACAAATCAGTCAGCTAGAGGTTAAACGGAAGAGAGAGGTGTAAGATTGGCTTTATGTAGCGAAGGTAATATTGAAATAGATGAGATCCGTAAGGGCGCAAATTGAAAGCTATCATTCTCTGATTCTGTGATTTTAGTGCTCACGGTTTCCTAGCCTGCGAAGAAGGCGCTTGCANGGTTCTAGGAACTAAACGAAGCTTTTTACAGGGACTGTCCAAGTCCAACCCCTCTACCCTTTTATTTAACATTTTTGACAGAAAGGGTACTCCTTTCTTAGTACCCTCCATTGACCAATGGTACCCATTAATTTCACATACCTCGTTTAGAACGCTGAAGCCCTTTTAACTGCTGTAAATACACTGTCTTAATGAAAGGTACGAATAGCTCACTTAACCAGGAAGCTCTCTTGTATTTTTTTACAGACAGCCATAAAATGCATCTGTTAGCCCTTCGTAGGTCTCTTCACAAACCCAAACGACAGATTTCCCTACCCTTTCATATACTTCAACTCGTTAAATCCCTACCTGAAAAAGGTACCCGTTTCAGGCGGAGCCTCCTTGTATGGGACATTATAGGGTGTACCAGCTACTACCCCCCGGGAGCAAGTCATGTTCTCCCAATTTTTAAATTGGACACCATGAAAACAACACTAGATGTGGGACTTTTTGATAGGATAGGCTTATCATTTACCTTTCACACTGCCGCTCGAACAACGAAGTATTTGATAACCCGTGTAACGCAAGCACACAACTGTGAAACGGGGAAGTGTCAATACTAAAAAGACTAGCCCCTGTTGTTGTTGTTCCTATTTGTTTAGTTCTGACAGACTTTTAAGAAATTCAGGAAAAAGTTCTTATTAATTTGGGTGTGAATCCGCGAAAAAGCGAGTTTTTTTCGACAGTCTTTTATTAAACATCAAGTTTTTGAGGCCTTGAACTCTGGAGCAGAACAGAATCCATCAACTGCATCGACATATAAAACGTTGCCAGTCATAAGAATTATTATTTTGACAGAATAATCATTTGTATTTTCCCTTTTTGCACTTCTCCGGGAAACTCTTGGCGATTAATTAGTTTAGAGCGTCCGGGGTCAGAGACATGTATTTAAGGAATAGTGACTATTTATATAAAGCAGGCTTCCACGATTTGAAGGAAAAGTTTTGGGAATTTTTATTCCATTTTCTGAAGATCTAAGTTTCAATTGCTTCCCTTTTCCTGTTCATTGCTATCAATAATTAAGGATACTGTTCGATGAAAATATATTAATTGTCTATTTTTTAGAACTACTGGATTCTACGAACTGACCGATTATCTTTAAACCGGAACAACTGGAACAAAATTGTGGGTCAGAGAAAATTATATTTCTGCGGTATTAAATATTCCGAAGAAATTCGTGCTGTTTTCAGCGTGTCACAAGTGTCTGTGACACTATTTAAATAAATTTAATATTCGAAGCACGCATCGGTTGATTTGAAGTTTAATTTGGTCGATTGGCTTCAATACTTCGAACGAGGAACCAATTTAAATGCGTGACGTGACTGCTTCCTGCACCAACAATAGCACAATCCACTTCCGCCCACACACGAATATATCTTATCGCTAATGACAGCAAACAGGAAGTTTTAAAGGTGGTCAAATAAAACGAACGCAGTTCACGACATCATTTTAACTGTACGTGTTCGATCGATACTACTGAGCTACCCGCGCTTGGATCTGCGAAAAGACTGATACAATTTCGAGGTAAGAATTTAGTATACATTTCTTTACTTTTACCACTGGCGATCGTCGATGCCAGAGCGAGAAATTTCATTTATCAAATTTACAGTATGGAAATGAAAAAAAGGAAGATCGTTCGTCTTCAGGGCTTGATTTCTTAAAAAAACTCCTCAGTTACACGGCAAAGCTGTAGAGATTTTTAATTAATTACGAGTTGTAGTCAAGATTCAGTTTTTTTTAAGTCGACTCTGCATAATCTTTGTAGATCTTCGATGATCGCGGTAGTTGGAATGGCAAATACACCGCCGGATAAGCTAGAAAACATAGGCTACATGAGGAGTGACAAAGCAAAACTGGCATTTAAACTCCGTAGAACCTTGAATCAAACATTTTTAGGCTTTTTCTCACAGTTAAGAACTGGTTTAAGGTTGTGTTGTACTACCGCTAAACGAAGAAATTGTGGGCGAGTGGCGAACCGGAAAATGTAAGAACAGACAGAGGGCATTTTTTCTGCTTATCAATGGTCGAAGCAGGTTTGAATCGCAGTTTTTCTTCACAAACCTCAAAGACCATAACAGCTAGTACTTTAATAATGATCCTTAAGTTTTTATTAAAACCTTTTATGTGGTAGAAACTATGGAGAACTGACTGTTTACAACCTCAGAACAACACCGGAAGTTTTAACGTTCTTAACTACACTGCGGGGGAAGACTGCGGGGGATCACGAACATCAGCCTGCTTGCCTTACAAAAACTTATTCGCTAATTTCTGCGAAAGGTATTTAGTCAGAACAGTGGATGTAAAAGAACGATCCTAGTGGTTCAAATGTAAACAACTTATTTCAAAACGACAATTAGAAGAACGGTTGTTAATTAAAACTTCTTTTATTTCATTTCCATTTTGAAGCTCTCCACTCGGTATGAATTTTTGTTATTATTATTTTTTGAATTTTTGCACTGAATTTGCACTATGGCATATGATGAAAAAATTTTCTCAAAGAATAATCCTGGCGTCCTTTTGCCAAAGAACAACGCACATACAATCTGCCCGCATATTTTAAAAGATATAGTAGGTCGCTTAGGTCATCAGACTTCCTTCCGCCTTGGGCCTCGAGTGTTTGAATAGCGATGAAACAATGGACCACGCGCAACGTAAATATTGCCTTCTTTCGGTTTTGTTTTGATGTAAAATAAAATATTTGTGGTAAAAGAAAAGCTGTGGTCTGAAAGAAATGAAACTTCTGCTTATTCCACTTTTTGACGGAATATTTCTTTTTAAAATGAAAATAAAAAGAAGGAAAAGAACGCTGAAGTAGTAGACAATTGCAACCAGAAATGAAAGGGTACTAGCTTACAAACAGAGCCTGTTCACAGGCTAAAAGTGTTACGTGTAAAAACGGGATGAGGTTTATCCTCTGTGGGTGGCCATGTTAAAATCGAGGGACAGTTTTGTCGGATCGGAAATCTCCGATTACTATCCGAACTAAGAAAACTCGGTTTCCAAAACACTCCACTCGGGAATACCGGAAAAATGATTTTCTTGGGTTAGATATGTAACAGTTTTTTCTAGTCACATGCGTGTCACATTCACCATACAGGTTTAATTGGGCATAGGATTACTGTAAGACTAAACAAAACTGAAGAAAATAACAATCATTCATCATTCTTCCTCCTTTGTTTCAGAAAAGAAGCCAAATACACAGCTTAGCTAAATTCTGATTAACAAGGATCATGTCTTTTGGTAAGTTTTGTGATAATATAAAATTGGATTTATCGTGACAACTAACATGCTCTCTAAAATCTGGTTTAAATGTCCCAATGTAAATAAGAAAATAATCGTTCATAAAGTTTTATTTATTTATTTATTTATTTATTTTATTTTTATTTTCTTTCTAAAAATATGAACGGACTCTGTTTTTCAAGGCAGTCTGCCAATATCTATACTTCGTCTTGTATAAACTAGCATCACAAAACAAAACAAGTCTCGGCAGGATCGACGTAAATGATATTTTACTCACATTTCTACCAGTACATGCAGTGGCCTGTTTGAATTTATTTATTTATTGAAAAAAAAAAGATTAGAAATCCTCATAAAAAGAAATTAAAATGAAAACAAAAACTTACCTTGAAAAAATGATCAACATTGATAGTGTTTTAATAGCAAACTGAGATCTTTCATTTTCCTAGAAAGTGAAAAAGTAAAACGAAAACTTGTGAACGCTATGTAAATAGAAATAGGCTGAAAATATGTCATTTTTAAATTTTATTACAAACACATGAACTCTAAAATATGATCTAAGAAAGTACGGTTTATTGAAGTATTATAAGATTTATTTAGAGCATTCAGACGAGTACAAAATTTCCTTTCACCAGAAACTCTACGCAAGCCTAACAAAACTGCTGTTCACCTTTGGGAGTTTCTGCTCGATCTCCTATTGGACGAGAAATGTGGTCACATGATCTGCTGGATCAACCGAGAGGCGGGAGAATTCAAACTGAAAAATCAAGAGGAAGTCGCGAGAAGATGGGGCTGCATAAAGCACAGGCCGGGCATGAATTATGACAAACTGAGCCGGGCATTAAGATATTACTATCAGAAGGGAATAATTAAGAAGGTATGCAAAGTATGACGTTTCTTTCGCTGCTTAGTTTAGTAGGTGAAAGGTATAAAATGCAAGAGCACAGGTTGCCCAAGCACAGACTGCGAAAAGGAATTCTGACAATTTTGTGTATTAAAAATGCGAGATTTTTCTGCATGCAATTTATAAGCTTAAACTATCATGTCACTCACTAACTATAAACCGTTTTTGTCTGGTCCTGTCTTTAAAAAATATATATATGAAGAGAAAATCTGCATGGAGTTTTAAAGTTTTTAGGTTTAGAAATTATTAAGCACTAATAGTTAGAACAAGTGGATGAATTTTTTTTAAGTAAAGACCTTATGTTTTTTTTTCTTACATGTAGGTTAATGGTCAAAGGCTCGCTTACAAATTTGTGAAACCGCCTTTTGGAAAATCGAAGGAGCCTGCTCCACAAAACGTTCCCGCGCAGACAAACATCAATGCGCCCTCGACTACACAAGAAGCAAAGAAAGAAGGAGAAGTAAAGATACAGGAAGTCGAAAACAAGGAAGGAGCAGCCATTCCCGTGGTGCCATGCGTGCGGACAGCCGCCGTCACGTTGCCACAGACAAGCGTTACCACGGCTTCGATGGGTTTTAGGATCATTCAAGCCCCATTGGTCAGTCCTAATCACATGACCTGTCCCATTTCAATTTATCCGTATGTTGTTCCTTGCGTCATCCCAGCATGCCGTCCTATTGAGATCATCAAGTCATAAAACAAAGAACGTTGCTGATTGGACAATAAATGATGATGTCATTTTATTTTTAACGTGTTTCGTGTTTCAAGAAATAGAAATAATCACTTCAGCGTAGTAAATAGGCAACTTTGAAAAAATGGCTTCATTTTAAAGAAATCCGCCAAGAAGTTGAACATATTAGAAAGAATGATTCAACATCGCATAAATTATTCACGTACCATCGAAAATTGATGAATACATTCATATCTTTTTTATCGATCAAAACTTTTTATTAATGGCGTTCAATAGTACATATATTCACAAATAGATAGCCTTTTATCGTTTTATCCATCCAAAAATTTCTTCTAACCCAAGTGTGAACACATCATCTGAGTTTTGTTTTGTTTATTTTCACAGAACAAGCCGCCAGCACTTATTTGAAAACGAGTGTTTATTGAGATAAAAATTATGTTCTGTAAGACTTAGGAAATAAATGATAGGCTTAATAACAATTAGACAGAAGCAATGACAGAACTTTTAATCCTGTGTGTGGCCAAAAACATTGTTCAAACGTAACCAAACGTACTTTGCAAAAGAACTGAAAATGAGGTCTCACTTTGTTCAGCAGTAATAAATAGGCAAAAGATTCGGAATAATTATACTTTGCTGGGAAACTGCGCACCTACCCCTCCCGTAAGCCAACATTTTGCCCTAAGTGAGAAGTAAGAATTAATGTTGGTTTAGGGGAGGGATAGGTGGGCCCAAGATTCGCCACTGTTAAAAACGAGATGGAAACTGGACTTAGTAAACGTTTGCAAAGACCTCTGGGGCTGTTACTATAGGAACAGTGAAAAAAGGCGCGTCCCCAGTAACCATCCCAGAAACACCTGCGAGACGCATTTGGGATCCATTTTCTTTCTCATTTCTAAAGTGGCAAATGGTCACACCAGTCTAAGATTTCATCCTCAGACTCAAAAGTAAGTGGCAATCTAGAACTCTGAATTTGATAGAGCTAAACTATTTGACTAATGAGACAGGTCCGAAGCCAATGAATATTAATTTAAGTTTAGATAAAATGAGATAATATTTTGTACATAAAATTGTCAATGTTTAGGTGCCTATTTATCAGTTGTAAATAAAGATTAACTCAAAAACCTGTGGTTAATTTTAAATTATTGAGCGATTGTTGTATTCGCTAACAAGCAGATACTCGATGTCGTAAAATGCACTTGTTGCACCCAGAAAGTTTACATGGCTGACATTTCCTTAATTATAACTGGTTTATATCATGATAGAGCTCAAATTGTACAGATCTTTTGCGCAAACTCGACCGTACGATAATGATTTTTTGAAAACGTAAACAATCAGGAAAGATGAGACTCCAGGGCCAGAAGGTGAATACTCCCCCCTTGCACACTCCCCCTCCCTCACCCAACACCGTCTCATCCGTAATTTTCAGACTATTGAACTTATGGAAATGCTGAAAATTACTGTTCTTGTACACGTCAGAAGAAGCCAAGCTGAGGATATTGAGTGGGGCAAATGGCCACCATCTTGGAATTGCCACTATGTTAGAAAAAAACAACCAAGGGGGTGGAAACGATCCAAATGACTTAAATCAATGCAACTAAACGAAGATTTATGAATAAGTTCTTCAAGTCAGTGGTTATATTGACGTGGTGCTCTGTATCATGCTGCAACACTAATTTGTCAATTTAAAATGCTGCTCTGGGCATTGTGTTGGCACAAAGAGGAGGTGGCATCGAAGCTAGTGTTGTGGCAGCCACAACACGGACAAACTAAGAGAGGAAGAATTAAGACCACGTACATACACACTTTGCTCGAGGAAGCCGGGTTTACCACTATCGGTGAACTCAAAACGGCAGTGTTCGATCAAAGTGACTGGCGAGGGAGAGTCCATGTTGTCCGAGCTAACGCCCGACCAAACTATCTAGTAACTAACTAACTGCCTACCTAACTGATTTCAAACACAAGCTTTGGGAGCTATACCGTTGATTTTATGGATCCAAACTGGGGCGTTTGATTGATGGGAGGCGTTTAAAAGATGTAGGCGTTTTTTGTAATAACTATAGCAAGCTCAAGAAAATGAATATGATGCTTTGGTGAATGCAATCCATTGATCTGACATCCATATCGTTTTTCTGTAAATAATGGTGCCAGATTTCATTTTAACATTTAAATAAAATATTTAGATCGGCACTACGACAGAAATGCACTGAAGTAGTGATAATAAGTCATTTGCAGGGTTTTTGGTAAGCTCTGGCCCTAAAGAAAACAAGATAATGGTAGCCTGATTAAAAGTGCTATTTCGCCGTAGTGGCATCGTATTGCTGGCTTTCAGTGTCACGCCATTCAAAATAGATCAAAATCAAAATCAAAACCATTCGACAGATAAAGTCCAGAATCTGGGAAATGAAAGGAGGTATATATACAAAGACCCTCGCCAAGATTTGAGTAGAAGGAATAATTCGTATACGAGATATCCGAGTTTTGCTACAAAAGCGTGAATTTACTCCTAAAGGAACTCATAAACATTAAAGTAATACTTTTTCTAAAACTTGAATTGTTTAGATAGCAAAATTCCTCGAAAAAAGTCACTTTTTTAACCTAAACGACATCTCTCTGAGCCGCCATGTAAATGCTGCGTCACGCAAAAGCTCAGAAATTCAAGCGTACTCTATTACAAAACCAAGAACATCCCCTTTTGAAGCGAAAATTTGTTTGAAAATTAGTTTTCAGCAGTTCTAACATACCATGAAAGTAAAATCTGCGTAGGATCGAAAGTTTTGTAGTTTGAATTTTAGAGACGTCATCTGAAAACCAACAATTGGTGGTCAGACTGCTTCAATGCCAGCAAATGCCAGGGCAGTTTACTTTCCCCAGACTAAACGGGTCAAATATAATAAACATTTCTAATCGATCTTGAAATAGTTAGAGTCTTCGCTTCTCGTTACAGGGCGAGCCTGAACAATTTTTAAAGTGACGTTTTCGTAACCGTCGCCTTCCTTATTGCTTAAACTTCCTAATACTAAGGTTACGTTCGTTTTAGCCATGATTTTTTGGATTTAGACAATCCAGATTCTTTGGATTTTAATGCCAAGCTGAACTCGAGATGGCAGAACCAAGATGGCGTGTGGAGAGTTAAATGCATGTACTGTATAACCTCCACCCACTTGTAACCGCTCTGTGGTAGTAGCCAACTCGAAAGCTTGGCTCCTTTGGCTGCTACACACTTTTCTCCTTTGTTATGTTTAATTCAATGTATAGTTAGCTCTGTTTTTACTTCTTTTTTTTTTTCTGATTGTTGTTATATTGTAATTGAATAAGCGTGAACAAATGAACTTGAACTTGAACTTGAGCTAGTTGGAACAAAAATCTAAAATAAGATTGACCCACATGGTAGCTGCCTGCTGCGCTGATCTTATTTTCATTTTCAACGGATCGTTTTTCAATTCTTTCCTCCTAAATTAAGCGTCTTCTCTCGGAGAAATGAAAGGAAAAGTAGCTCTTTAACTAATGGTGGCTTATACTGGGCCTCGTCAAGTCATTGAAATTATCTGGAATTTGACTCAAACAAATTCAGAAGACAATTACGAATTCTCAAGTGCTGAGAAGCGCACCCTAACACACACACATTGTACATTGAGAATGCAAGCGTTTTAGCTAATTTACGGATTTAGAGTTACATTGGAACTTGAGATTAATATACTTCAATCCTTAAGCGGCATAGAACATCGGAGAAGTATCAGTAACTTTTGCCTGAACTGACCTTGACCCGACGTGTTTATCGATGAACGAGCACGTTCTTGCGATTGAAAAGCAGTTTCGATAAATGGAACAAAAATCTGAAACCAGATTGAGATACCAATCTGAACGATCCAAGTGCTGAGGTGGATCGTTCAGATTGAAATCTAGTTTTTCTGTTAAACTGTAACATTCCTCATGCATCTACTACTTGGAAGGAACTAATTCGGAAATGCCCATTATCAGGAATATCACTGAAATCGTGAAAAAAATTAAGAGTTTATATGACCTTATATGGTTTGGGGGAACGCTATCACAAAATTTACAAGGCGTTTCTATGGATCTATTCTACCATGTTTCCAGAGTCATAACTTGATCCCTGTTTAACCTTAGAGAACCAAACTTTGTAAAATAACCAATCTCAACATGACCTTTTACTGATATGGAGGTGTCAGTTTATCGATAAGTTTAAATTTGAAACTCGTCCTAGTTCCCTACACAACTCCGAAATGGCCAATGACAGAGGGGCAAATTAAGGGCACCGGAATTCGTGTTTAGTCCTTTCCGCGCTTTCCCGTCGTCAACTGACGTTCCTGTTCTGTTGCTAAATCAGCCTAATGTTTATACGCTACACTTCATATATTTCGTCCATTTAGTTAATTTACGAACGTGAAATTCAGGAGCGCACGCTAGCACAATTTACGCGACAGTGGAAACCCACCTTTAGGGTGCAATTTAAGTTTGGAACAATGAGTTACACCAGAAGCATGTAACCCTGCTTCTGGTTACACACAAAAGTACTGGTTACCCTCTTCCAGTCAGAGGTAACATGCAGAAATGGCTCGCATGGATTAGAATAGCGGGTATCACGAAACGCCAAGTACTGCCTCTGCGGATCCTTGAGTATGGCAGACCAAAATTGCATATTAGTGCCCAGACCCCTTTCTGCTTTTAGGAAATTTGAGACGTGATATACTTAACGATTAACAAGTACAATTAAACAAGCATGAGGAATCTAGGGCTAGATTTTATGCGCATAACAAGGTTGTCCTTGCTCACCGCAGCAGTTCTGCGACGGTGAGTTTGAGCAGGAAGTTCACGTGGCAAAGACTACTGAGGTATAGTTTCTTCCTTGTTTTTTGCTTGGAATTTTAGCCTTATTTTTGCTAAAACATTGTTATCTAGTACTTCTACTCTTCGTGATTCCGAAAATTTACAACTTTGTCTTTTGTACGTTATTTCCTGAACATTGCGTTGTCAAAATTGTTTCATTTTAGCATAAGCCTTCCGCCAAAATTTCGTTGTAGGCTTAGCCCTAAGAATTTCCATGGCATCTCATAATGCATCCGCCGAAAGTACTAGTTCTTTAAGCATTGTATTAGTTTATTGTAATTTTCTATTAGCACAACTGTAGCTAGCGCTGCTTGAGATTGCCAGTTTTTGTCTAAACTTACAGTTAATTTGAAATGGTTTAGCTTCTCTTTAAATTAATTCGTTCTTCGCGGGAGAGGAAGGCGGAGAAGAAGCCTTCCGCATAGACTTGAGTCAATCTTGATTTCTATGAGGCTGTTTACATGGAGCAAGAAAGATCGTAGCAACAGGAAGATCCAAGAAGGCGGAACAACTTACGCTGGGTTTACATGCAAAAAATTTAGTTCCGTATGGGTGTCAAAGTAGAGAAGATTCGAGAAGGAATTAAAAATGGCGGACGACAAAAACAAGACTGCAATTTGGGCCCTTATACTTTCTTTACTGGCGTTAATCACTACCTTGGTAACGCCTAACGAAATAATCGGCCTTTATTGCCATGATTAGCCACTGAACGACCCGCCGCCATTTTTGTCTGGTTTGTTCCAAGTACTAGGATCTTCCTAGCGAAGACAATGTAAATGGTACTAGGATCTTTCTTGTACTAGGATCCTCCTTTGGTGTTTTCAATGCATGCTGCTGAAGCTTCGCTAATAATGTTTTACACCAGACGTTCAAAAATGACTTGATGAAAATTTCAAACTCTGTTTACTTTCACTTCAACTTTTATTTTAGCACCCTGACATTAGGTAATCTGAAGAGACGTGCATAAACACAAGAACGCGTTGTTTGGAGCCATCCTATATTGATCGTCTAAAAAGGTTTCTTTTTCCCAGAAAAACAAACTCATTATGTACTTGTACTGAACAATTATAAACACTTGTATAGCCACCTTTTCTTCGCTTAATTTTGGATATAGGCCTACCTTTTTTGAAAGCTTATGAAAGAATAGAAAGTCGTGAAAATGGTCAAAGGCTGATGCGAAGAATTGTGCGCAAAAGATCAATGAGTTTAGAACCCAAAGGTCAGTTTTAAGGCTGCCTTAC